CAAGTTTGCCGCTGCAGCAGTGAAAGTCTAAGCGGGCAAGTGACAGAGGACATTTCTTGCTGCACTCTCCTCGTCGTCCTGCGCCCTATGCTACCTGTCAAGGCCCGCGCATCCCTGCATCGATGGGCGGAGGCCAGTAAAGGAGAGCGAGGGGACCTGGATATCCAAGGGGCGGAATGTGCGGTCTCTGAGCTCTGCAAACATCAATAACCCAAAAAAACAGCTGCACAGATGCTGCGAGACCATTGGGTCTGCACCACCCATCATATATTCATAGCACCATACAAACACCATATTAAACGCCCGTTGTGCCCCTCGTTTATCGGATTATCGTTGGCGCTTTGACTTCTGAGACTTTGGAAACGGCCCAGGGTCAACTCGACTCAACTAACGTCCAAAGGTTGCTCTTAGGGAAAGAGAAAGGACCTCTCTGGTCACAGAGCTTTACTGAAGCTTAGACTCTCGGCTTTTGTTCTGATGCAGATGACTCACGTCTGCAACACAAGTTTGTTTTTCGACCGCGCACTTGTTGCAGACCTTGACTCGCCACATCTCGCGAAATTGCTCGACTGGACACCTTGAAGATATTTCTACACAGTCAGGACATTTTTTTGACCAACACAGTCAGGACAATTTGGTATCCGTTACCATCTTAATGATGATAATATTGTTAATACGATGTATGACATGGATAGAATAAGGCATAAGGGTGCACATTGTGCTGTGTGCCTTACAATTGGCGGAGCCTTTTGCAACGCGACTTTTGACGAGTCGCGGGCTTTCTGTTCCTCATTCGAGTCGAGCTGTTGAGAGTCACGGAACTTCGGCCCCTGAATTTAAAGAACTTGTGGGGAGCTGCGTAGCTTCCAGGGGCTTCGCTCTGTGATGCTGATATTGCTGAGATCGCCGGCTTTGGTGCTGATCTGATTGTGCCGAATCTTTGTGGCTGCTTTCGTCCACGGTCCTTCTGAAGCAGCCCTATATATGTCCCGATGTTGCATAAAAAGCATCAGCCTCTGCAAGAAGAGCACCAAAAGAAAGCCCTACTGGAGATGGAAATTCAGTTGCCTTTACTCGAACCGTGCCTTCTTGTGCGAGATGCTTGGTACGGGCGGCCTGTCCGTCCAGAAAGTACGTACATGCAGAAAGTGCAGAGCCATCAAAGTCACGGATAAATGCAAGCTTTTCTTCCGAGATGGAATTCCCGAGTGCTGCAGCAGATTGTGTCCCATGGCAACTAGGTGGCACAACCTGAACCTGTCTGAAAAATCAGAAACATCAAAACGCTCGCACTGCCTACGAGTGTCGCTGAAAACCACTACAGTACCCTACAACTCTCACTGCAATTGCTGCTGCAATTGCTGCTACAGTCAATCTGCGTATCTGGGTTGCAGGGGTGGTCTTGGCAGACGATGAAACTGCAAGTTTTCAAATCTTCGGTGAAGAAGAGCAGGACCAGGATTCAAAAGCAGATTGGAGAAGCCATTCACTGTTGGGAGCAAGTCACGGTGTCTTGAGAGATTCCGGTGCCTGCTGAACGTGACTTGCTTGAGAAACTGAACTGCCTGTCGAGAGCATGCAGTCTGCCGAACGGAGGCCTGAGTATGGGCGGAAGCGGTGCCTGCCATTCAAGAAAGTCAAGGGTCTGCAGTTCAACATGGCTGAACAGCTTCAGCAGTCGTGCATAGTAGGCCACACTTGCAAATCCTCTTCCTGAAAAAAAGATGCAGTACATTCAAACTTTGCCGGCACATTCCAATCGAGATGGTGAGGCACAGCCAGGGTGCAGCAGCAGCAGCATGGTTTGGCCGCTTCCGCCCATTTGATGTGCGCAGTGTCTGAAGTTTGGTGTACACGACAAGTCATCAATCGAGTAGGAGATGTTGGACAACATGCAAAGGAGAACCAAGCCCAGCGTGCCTGCGAATGTCCCGGGCCAACATCTTCGAGTTCGTCCTCCAGTTCTGGTACGGTCGCCCGCGGTGAACCCAAACTCTCACACTGACTGCTGCTTTTGGGACCTCATCGCTGCTGTCCACACATGGTGCCGCGGGCAGCCTGAGCGCAGGGGCCATCGCCAAGAATTTGCACTGCCAGGGCTTGCACTTTGAATCACTTTGATGCACCTGAAGCTCAAAAGCTACAGCCCATTCTCGAGGCAGCGACTGTGTTGCCTCCATAGCCACCGTAGCCTGTCAGGTGTTTCAGTGCAAGGGGGGCCTACTTCCTGAAGCTCGACGAAGTGCACGCAGCACTTCTAGATTTACCCAAGAACTCACCAACAACCGTACATATCCCTGCGATGGTGAGGTGACAAAAAGCTGCTCATGTCTGACCTCCCCACAAGAAACACCAAGAAACTGCCTGGCCTGCTTTGGAACGATGGCCGGCACCAGTGGCCTGTTGCACAATTGGGAAGTAGCGTACACAGGAAGCAAGAGACGTCCCATCCCCCATGTCCGCGAGGGGGGGGGGGGAATGAAAAGTGCAATCCGCATTTTCGGACGTCGTTTCAGCATGCCTCAACGGAAAAATGCAATTGAGAACTTCCCAACGTCAGAGGGTGAAAATGGGTGAAAGTGCTACAGCCAGCATGTCGGCACGGCCCAGCCTTGACTTGCTTCCAAGATGAAATATTCTCTTGTTTCCTCGCGCGGTTCAATTCGCAACCAGTTGCGGATTGAACCTTGCGCACGCGCCATCATTTCCAACATGAGTTCTTCTCTTGTTTATGCATGTTTCTGCACAGGGTTCAATTCGCAACCAGTTGCGGATTGAACCTTGTGCAAATTCGTTTAAGGCAGTTATGTGACAGCTTTCAAGTTCCAGACCAGCAAAAGCCCAGTGGATGCTTCAGTGACATTTGATCTCCATTTTTGAGGCCAACAAGTTTTGGCTTAAGTCCGGCGGACTTAAGCCAAAAGACGTGCCGCACGTATGTTCGCCAGCCAATTTGATGGTGATATGTCTAGCAAATTGATGCCCCCCATGGACGTGCACCACCTCCGGAGGCTTAAGTCCGCCGGACTTAAGCCCAAACCAGAACGCCAACATAAAGACACAATTTCCGCGGGGGTGTAAGTCCAATGGACTTAAGCCCCAGAAACTTTCCCAAATACATGCAAGCAGCGCAATCATTATTTGCAGTGGGGGCTTAAGTCCAGCGGACTTAAGCCAAAAAAAGGCAAAACAAATTCAGAGACAAAGTCCAGTGGACAGCCAAAAAAGGCAAAACAAATTCAGAGACAAAGTCCAGTGGACTAAGGCCCTAAAAACAATGTGTTTCAACCGTTCCTCGCAAAAGTGGCCCAATCAGATTTGCTGTGCTCATCATCTTGCCCGGGCCATGACGTCCCGAGCCAGAAGTTCCACGTGCTTGCGGTCTGCCAGCATGAGCCCAAAAAGTGCATGCTCTACAAGAAACTGAGAACATCCTCGATCTTAGAACGAGCTTCGTCAACGAGAATTAATTGTCTTTGGCTGTCTTCAGAATGGGTCAGAATTTGGAGCTCCTGCTCCAGGTATAGCCACACATCTTTGGAATGGTGATACGATACTGCAGGTGCTTATAGAATGCGAGGAAGATGAATCGGGTGGCCGGAGGCCTGACAGGGGGCGGCGCAAGCGCCTGCCAAGAGCAGTGACGCATTCTCGAGCTGAACGTGCACTGGTCCAATGGAGCAACATAAAAAGCACGAGAAGATACCGTTAACATCTGTCAATTCTGGGGAGTCCAGGGCTTTGACGACAGCGCCGGCCTCCTCGGGGCATGGGACATCTTCGAGCTCCTGCAGCTTTGCGGGTCCCATCTTGGGAGTCGCATGCTGCTACTGGTAGCTGTCGTGCTGTCGACATCCCAGCAGCATGTCACCACATGCAGCACACATCGGATGATGAAAAGGAGCCACTGGCCGCCCGATCGCCGCCTAAATAAAACTCACAAAACTTGCGCGGGGACCTCATCGCTGCTGTCCGGCCTCACACTTCTAAGAAGGCTGGAGGCTGCCATGCCCCCCACTGTAGCTTACTGCATGTCTGGCTGCTCACTCAACAGGCTGCATACGGGCTGATGCACATCGTGCTCAGCAAACTGGCGTTCTGGATGATTCTGTTTTTTTGTTTACCTCAGGCCGTGGCTCGCAAGTCTCAGCCTGGTCAGGGCAAAGCGGCAAAGCTTCGGGCCGCTTCCACACTCTGAGGCAGATTTCAGGCACTGGAGCCTGCGCCGGGATGCCTGGAAGTGCGGGACTCCCGGCTGGCCTGGTCACAGCTTGGTGCTCTTTTGGGAGCTTCTTTGTCTCAGTTTGGGCACTCCACGACTTTAAAGATTCAACCTGTGCGATAACACCGACCCAGACCATTGAAGGCCGGAGTGCTAAAAAACAGACCTCAACAAAAAGAAGCTGCTGGCCCTTGATAAGCCATCAAAGCTCATGAAAAGAGTTTGCCAACACGTTAAGGCAGGCAGTCCTCTCCGGCATGGGCATGCTGGAAGCTGCATGGGCTGCCTTGGGACTTCATTACAGCTACAAAAAGAAAAAGAAAGCAGCACATGACTCACGAAACCGACAGTGTTTGCTCTTCATTCTCATCCCTTGTCGTTGCCTCAACTGTCACTGCTAAGATGCTCAAAGCATAAGGTACGGGCAGGGTCCAAGCGTAGCACTTCCTTCCCACAAAAAAGGCAGAATTCAATGCACTGCAAAAACCGCTTCGAGCAGCCTTCCGGTGTCCCCATACCCTCTGGCCTCTGGAGGCGGAGCACCCAAACTGCTGCAGCCTGCGCATGCATATTAGCTGCCGGTCAGGGGTCAACTTGAGCATGAACCGTTGTCGGAACCCGAAAGATCCTGTGACCAACGCTGTACATTTGCTTATGACTGTGCTTGGCCTCGCGGCCAAACCGTGCGTGCCCCCGCCAGAACCCCTTAAACGCATCGCGACGTGAAAACATCCCGAAATACCCTTAGATCCCGCCCCAGATGCGGATCGCTTTTTGCTCAGAAAGGAAAGGCAAGGTCACTTCTTCTCACCCAGTCCATGTCCTGCCAGGGCTGTTCTTTGGACGATAAACACACAGCAAGCTCCCACGTCCTGGATAAATAAACACAATCATGAGGATCACGTGCGATTTCTGCGTCCAAGTAAACAGGTGTTCAGAACTCACTGGCACTCCCCGTAGGTGAGCAGGCTTGAGAAGCAAAGACACCTTGAAGGGAACCCTGTTTGCCATAGTGACTACAGTGCTGAGGGGGACCCTCCAGCATTCCAAACCCATGCGTTGCAGGTCTGATGCCTCAGATATCCTCACACCTCAGGTGGCACGTCCAACAAGCCAAGTATCCGAAGTGCCCCTTCAGATCCAGTCAACTTCAACCGTCAAGGCCCCCATGTTGGCTACAAGCCTCGAACCGATGAATGGCAGCTCGAACCCTCACAGTCCACATGGCGGAAGTCGCGCGGCTTGAAGGCCCCATCGCCCACAAACAGCCTAAGTGATCGAGACTCTTGCTGCCGACCTATCCTACATCAAGCATGCCACGCTCTCTGGGAAATTGAAACTTTCAAGTTGTGCCCCGACCCCACTGGAGCTGAAACGTCTATGCACGCATCTCAGCTCTCTAGTGGCTCCAAATCAAAACAATTTCTTTCGGACATGCGACACGCATCTTGTTTTGGCAAAGGTCTTGTCTGGCCGCGGCCGAAGACACAAGCTATTCTCTAGGCTATTTCCAGGCGCGTCGGGCTTCCGCTACAAGGATTTCGGGTTTGGTGTCCTGGGCAGCGGAGAAGATAGAGAATCAAGGAACCTGTAGGCCGCGTAGAGCCAGTCCGGAGGATCCTCAAAATCGTGCACGACCTGGGCAGAGAGCGACGACAGAGCTTCCTGGTAGTGGCTGCAGGAATATGCAGGAACGGCCGCAGTCAGGATGGACAATGAATTTTTATGCCAAGCTGTAGATGCAAAACCAAAACTAAACCAGGATGGTAAGCTGCATGAAAATGACTACTGTAGAAGCCGAAACCCCTCTCTACTCACCAACATGACTTGCTGCATCACATGGACGGTCAATGACGGTCATCGTCATGGTCCGAACAGCTCCTCCCCTTTGCAAACGAACCTAAAGAGCAGAGCAGAGTCTCCCTGAGTGCATGGCTCTCACCGGGAACTCCTGCAAGGAGCGGTAAAGCGCACACCCTACTTAGGCAGCGTAGACGGCGCGACTGCCCAGCTTCTGAAATCCCATGTAGGAGGATGCCCCGAGAGTTGATCGCAACTATATCCCTCACAAGAAAGAATACTCTTTTGCACAGCAACTCAGCCTCCTGGCGATGGGCATTCCAATTTCCAAGTGCAACGCCCAAAGCGCGCAGCAGAACCACGCCTCGCCATCATCCGACACCTGCACACGTGCGTTAGGAAGTGCGTGCAGCACAAAAGGTTCCATGTCCTCAGAGGCTGTTGACAACACTCCCTTCTCCACCAAAGTTGCAAGTGCTATGTGTTTGCAGTCTCTTGCTTGCTTTAGAACCCGTCACTGGCAAACTGTCGGCTGGAATCTCTGCTCTTGAGCATACCCAAACTTTTCCAAATTCAAACTTTGCTGCAGCCGTGGTTGAAGCCAAAACCAAAGTGAAACCGCACCTGTCCCCATCCAGCCACTGCATCACCGGAAGCTGTGGAGGGCGACTCGCAGACCCAAACCTGGGACTTTCGTCACTTTCGTCGCAATTGCAAACCACTACTTCGTCAAGCGCTGGGTGTGGCACACCCTTCTTCATTCTGAAGATGTTGGCTTTAAAAAGTTGTTCGTCTTTGTTCAACCCGATCATGGCGTGCTCGCGGGGTGGGACCTCACGCGGACCTCACGTGACTTCAGAATCCGACTCTAAATCCAGAACCTAGACGCTACTGGTAGTGGTGTGCCCGGTGTCTAGAGGCACTGTCTTTGAAGCAGATTGTTTGGGAGCTGTTCTAGAATTTTAGAAGTAGCCTGCAGGCGGAAACCCATGGAATGTCAATCCTGCAGGTCCCTCAACTTCTCAACTCCTGCATCTAAACCCCCCAACCTTCATCTTCAAGCCTTCAAGATTCAAAAGACTCAAACCCTGGCGCCCCGAACCCAACTCGCTGTATCTTGACTCAACGTTTGCTTTGAGCGCCGCGGGTTCTTTTGAACACAAGGACCTGATGCATAACTCAACAGATCGTTTAGAGCAATGCCCAGTAACCAGCGTCTGCAGCCACACCCGGATCCGTTCCGGCTCCACTCGCCTTCAACTCGATTGTTTCGATTGCAACGTGGGCGAAATGCAGAAAAAAACTTCCGACTTCTCCAGGAGCGAGAACCCGCGCAAGCCCGCGCCTCGCCCTTTCCACGGCCATTGCATGGTGCACATCATCTTGATGAATGCCTGACATCTCTGATGGGTTTTGATACGCCCGTGGCCTCTTACACACATTTTGCACGCTTTCAACACACTAATATGCCACTGGCTTCTTTCAAAGGCTCAAGCTGGGTAGGTGGGGTTGTGTATGTACAGTCTATTGCATCTGTGGCTGTTGGGCGTCCAGCTCGAAAGTGGGGAAAAGGTGGAGGGACGTGATTGACAATAATATATTGACATCATAGTTCACGGAATGTTGACGGTGGAGTGCTCTATGGAGTTGCCTTAGAACTGTGTTGCCACTCGGAAGGCACGGCCAAAGGGGGAAAGCATTGCAGGAAAAGATCAAAAACGAGATCAGCATGATCATGCGGATTGTCAGCCTTTGGGCCGAATCAGCGAGGGCACCTTCAGCGCGAAGGATAAATCCTGGGATACAACAAGAAGTCGCCGTTGCTGTGGTGGGCAAGCTGCTTAGCGCCGAATGCCTCCCTTGATGATGTTTAAGCGGCCGCCCCGAAGTCCCGCCACAATGTGAACCCAGCCAGGCCACATAGGAAATTGGAGGAAACATGGTGAAGTGGCTGAAGTTCACGGCCACGACCTCTTGCGAGACCGCGATGATCCGTGGAGCATCATGCACGACGGTTTAACAGGCTTAACAACTAGTATCGAATTCTCGGATGGACAATCCTGGGAGGGCCCTTAAATTTATACCTCGCTTGCAAGGGATATGGAACAGGCTCAGTCACATTTCTTCAAGAACAGTCGCCAATATCTGGAAAGTCGGCTAATGTCAGCGTGATCTGTTCTGGTGTGTCAGAAACTTGCTGATGATCACTGCACTCAACATCCCCTACTCCGGTCGATGCAGGCCTCGTGCGTGTAGACATCAGAGGTGGCTGAGATGTGCTCCTCGCTGCCCATGAGCAGCTCGCGCCTGGGCGGTTCAGGGCTTGACAGTCTTGAGGAGCCACGCGATCCGACCATTGAAGATGTTTGAAAAGGCAAAATGAGCCTCAATTCAGGAACAGACTAGCTTCAAATCTTGCATGCCAGTTCATGTTCACGTCCAATTCTCACATTGTGCGGCACCGTCTGTTAATTCCACTGCAGTTCAACACTCGACAAAAACGTCTTGAATCCTTCCACCCGACACTGAATCAGCCAGTCATGACAATACTGCAACGAGGAACGCCATAGCCCTGTTGATCAAGGAGCAGTGGTTAGACCTGGACGATGGCCGCTGTATGTCTTCGGCTTTCAAATAGTTGTGTGACTGAGGCCTGCTAGCCAGAAACCAAAAATGTCAGCTTCCTGCTGTTTAAGTTACCAGGTGTCTTCTACCACATCGTACATCTGTAACTAGTGTAATGCAACAACTCTGGAAAATGGAGCTCATGAATGCTGAAAACTGCGAGATACACGCCATACCTTGCACAACCAGCTCGCAGAAATTGCCGAGCAGGCAAGCGGCGGGCTGCTCCGATGCTGCTGTCACTGCATAAGTGTATAACTGCGTGGATGGTTTAGAGAGCCTTCACGAGTGTTCAATCAACTCGTGGACCCCCCCCCCCCCCTCCCCAACCCAATCGAAATCTAACATAGCTGACCATAGCAGAGAAGTTGAAGGCGCTTGAACTTTTTTTGGCAACCTGACACCCAAGCCCCGCTTTCACGGGCCCCGGCATCCGAACGGCATCACCGAGCAGTTCTGGTGGGTCCTCCAAGCAATGTTGGTTCTGTGGAGCAGGATTGTTACCTATAAAGGAGCACTCGAAGGTGGTAGCGATGTGCCTAAATTAACGTGCAACAGAACAGCTCTCTAAGGCATTGTTGTCGTTGGCCATCAAGCATTGTGAATGCTGCCACTTCTGCGCAGCATGTCCGACTCCGACCAGCCTCGCATTTGTTGGCCGGTCTCCTTGCACCCTTCTTTCAGATGTCCTTGAGTATTTCTTGCACCCGCGAATAACTTCTGGGCATTCCTTTGTCTTAACAAGATGACTGTGCAAGATGCTGAAAGAGATGACAATGGCCGATATGAAAGAAGACGGATAAAAGATTTGTGCCTGACGGTGCTGGACTGGGTAGTCACTTTCCTTTTAGAGAGTGGTTTCGCAGCTCCTGAATTCCAGCCTCTTCGCCAATTCTCAATACAGTTGATGCCCCTCCTGCTCCCCAACTGCTCTGTGAACTTTCTGGCTACAGCCAGGTGTACAGGACATGAACCTCGATCCAGAGCTGCAGAAAGCTCGAGTGACCCATGCCCTGCAAGGACTGCAAGGAAAGCCAGTCCGAACCTCCACTCCAAGCAGGTACCGGTACTGTAACATGATGCCGTCTCCCGAGTGCCTCGTCGACATACTCAACTCCTCAGCTGACCGGATGCAGCTGCGGGCGTCGCAGTGGCACGGATGTGAAAGCCAGTGAAAGCTGTCACCCTGTTCCCTGGAGTGCCGTCACCCACATTGCACAGTGAGATGTTCGTCATTCATCCTTCTGCTGAGTCTCCCAGCTGCCATCCGCAGCGAACCAAACAGGGCTCGCCTCCAAAAGGGCCACTGCAGAAAGATTATGTTGCTTTTTATCGCAGGGTGACCTTTGAGAAAAAAGGGAACTCACCAGTCACAGAGGCAGCTGTACATCGAAAACATCCTACGCTTGAATGGAGAGCAACTCGTGCCAACTCGAGCCTGCATGCTCTTCCAGCAGCTCTGGCCTAAGCAAGGAAAGGCGAAGGCCGGGTGGGCTGTGGCACAGTCCTTCTCTGCATTGAAAACTCTGAATCTCTAGTACCTCTAGTCCTTTGGAGCTACTTGGGCACAAGATACCACGAGTCGGGGCTTACGAATGTGAGCGCTTGGTCTCGAGAGATTAGGTGTTGGTACTGCCTTCACAAGGACGGAAGGTGCAGATTGGAACCTTCATTGCGTGCAGGAAAATAAACGCGCAGACCCAGAACCAGGAAACAAAGCAACTTGGTTCATCGCTGACTTGTCTCCCAACTTGGAAATGCCACGAATGGACCACACACTGCAACGAAGCGAGGACCACCCAGCCACCCACAGCAAGAAATTACGAAACCGTTATCCGGGCGCCTCGAAAGCGATATGAAGCGATGGCGGAGCAAACTTTCGACCAGAGGCGACCTCTAGGCTATTACTCGCCTCCGTCGCATTCAGCAACCTTGCCTTTTCCTAGCTGCAACTGGAGAACGTGACCAGCTCGTTCCAACATTCCGCCGCTTTGTGCGTGAATTTGACCTTGGCTTCAGCAGACTGAGACAACAGCGGCTACAGTGGGCTACAGAATGTACCAGCGTAGCCATACTCCTTCGAAGCCCACGGCCAAAGAACAATTGAAACGACAATGGCAACCGGCTTCACGCAAAACCAAACCAAAAGAAGCACCGTCGTCCATCGTCGTCCCTGATAAAATTGGGATGATTCAATGCCTTCCGAGAAACCCACAACTGCTTGAGCTCCACGTAACACTACAGAATTCACTACCATACTGAAGCATTTGCCTACTTTAGAGAGAAGCCACGTCATCCTCCACCAGCAGGTGCCACTCATGTGCAGAGTTGACAATCTCGGTCCAGGCCTCCGTCAAAATCAAGTGGAACATTCTCCAAACTGTGAGCAAAGCATACGACGAGGCCATGACTACTGTCCCTCTGTTCCCACTCCCACAATTCAACATCTGCACCATTCCGCACCTATTTCGGTGGCAAATTGAGACTGCAGTTGTTGCCTTTGCTTCTGAAACCCCGATAACGTCTTCAAACTGCCAAGGCACAGTAGAGCCGAGAAACCAAGAGTAAACCCGACTGCCCAAAATCTGCTTCTTGAAGGCTGAGACAGCCAATCCGGCAGCCTTTCGAAAGGACAGCCAGTTCGCCACTTGCTCCAGCAACCTCGGGCAGCTCGTGCTCTGACACACCTTCTGACGTGTCACGCATCTATGGCCATGCTTGTAACCTGGCTGCTGCGAATCGCCACTCATCGAGACTTCATCGAGCATAGTAGCGGATTATCTTCTGACGGCGAAGGTTCTGCCAGCGCTTTTATGGCAAGTGCTTCAGGTGCGAATAACAGATGATGACTGCTTTCTTGCTGGAAATTCAGTCCGCCGGGTCCACAGGCCTGCTGCAACAAATCCCCGACGCGATCAATGATGTTCACCATGTCGTCAAAACATTGAAACACATTTTGCACATACTCCTTGTGAGGTTTGCGCGTTCCTAAATCATCATGTGGGCCCGCTGCGGGCGTACATATCACTTTGCCTTCCACGTCAGGTTCCACATTTGTCTCACGTCGAGAGCCAGGCGATTTTGTGCAAGCCCATGCATTATGCCTCAACAACTAACTTAACAGGCAAGCATTGGGAGCTCGTCAAGCTGTCCCGTTGCATATCTCTTCTGAAGTGTTCCACCGTCGCTGGTGGTATTTCCGGCTTGTCTCTCTTCTCCACCTGCTGGTTTGCGGCATTGCGATGAAACTTCTTCTCACTTTCCTCCTCTTCGCTGCTTCTCTCCACTTCAGCATGGCTCCTCCGTGTCCGCCGTGGCCACGAGCCTCTTCTTGATCATAGGAGGGGACCAGAAGAGACTCTTGGCACAGCCCCGCCTTCAGCACCACCCGTTTCGGCCGGGGCAACGGATGCGAATGGATAAGATAGAGAGCAGCACATAGCAGCACATAGCAGCACATAAATGCATGCGGGGTCTGAATCCGGCATTGCACCGTGATAGGGAAGCGAACACAACTGGCACGGATGCATGTGCATGCGAGACATTCGGGCATTCCATGTCAATGGCTCAGTGCAATTCCGTGCCAACATGCGAACGTGACAGAAAGAATGGTGGTGGACTACAAAATTTGGCATCTCCTGTCCATCATAGGAGCCATCAACGACTTGTTTAGATACTTAAGAGTCATAGAAAACCATACAGGAACTGCCCAAAGGCCGAATTCACTGGGCGGAATCTGAAACTTCCACTGCCACCGGCTAAAGGCAAATCCAAGGAGCATGTCGTTGTTTGCACAGCCACATTCAGTGACCAAGCCACACCGGAAGCACGGAGGAAACTTTGCAACTCTCCTTGGCTGTCGAGGCCAACACCAAAACCAAACCCAGTGGCCCAGCTGCTACTTCTCGCTGAAGCCTCATCCAGAGACTTGACAGACTTTCCAACACAATGCCCCTCAGCCCAGCCTACGAGCTTCCCCCACGTTACGCTGAAAGCGTTGGAGAGCTGAGCTGTCGAAGCTCGGCGAGTTGAACCATCGCAGCACTTCCTCTGCAACAGCCGCCAACAATTGCCGCTACTACTCCGCTACTGCAGTAGTTCTCTAATATGTAATGTTGGAACCTGTTTAGAAGGGGCCTCCTGATAAAGGTCAGATTGCTTTGCTATTCAGGACACCCTGACTGTTTGGGGGTGCGCGGTGGGATCCTGAACTAAGTCAAATCGACAAGGTGCGGTACGCATCGCGCCTTTAAAATCAACTGTTATTGAAAACATATAAACCCCCGGGACCGTGTAAACAGGGACAATAACAGCTTCGACTGCTCTGGGGGGAGGGGGGGGGGGCCCACGCTAAAGAGGGTCCAACATTGCCTGGTGTACCCTGCGCTGCAAATAACGTGCTGTAGACGAGCAGCATAGCCCCTGCAGAAAGGATGCGAAAAGCAAAAAACGAGAGCTTTGGCTGAGTTTTGGAGGACGACAGTTCCATCCTGCTGGCGGCCATGAAGAGCATGAACCGTACCGGAATCTAGCTTCTTTCGATGCCAAAACCGAGAAAGGGCTCGGGACTTCAGGGGCAATGCAGAGCCAAATCTGAGCCACGGTTAAACTCATTCGGATTTGCTTTGCCAGGACCGAAGACTCGCAGTATGGGCAAACAATTTGCAGGAGTCAAGTTGAATGTGCCGCAAGCCGCAAGCACGCACACCGAACCCATAAGCATGCTGGACAAGGACTGAATTCTTGGCAGTGTGTTCTCGTTCGATGCTGAAGTGTTCTGCCACTGCGACTTCTGTTCTTCAAGCTTACAGGTATGGCAGCGATGGCCGGCACATACCGGCAACGACAGGTACCATTGGAGCACTGGTCTAGCTAGTACGCTTATGCTTCTACTGCAGCAACATGCAGCAACATGCCGCAGCACAGCTACAACTTCGACACTTGCGATGTCTCAGTTGAAAACCTGCCCTCTTTTCCCCTGGAAGCCCAGCCTCGTCATTCGGGCAAAATGCTTCCACAAATCGCGGCATTGGAAATCCCCAGCCTGATGCTTTACAAGATGCACTCAACAGATCACCTGACGGAGCTGAAAACACGCAACGCCGCTTCCGGAACGGATCACGTTCTGTAACTTTCTGGCCACTCAGAACTCCTCAGAACTCTTCAGAACTTTCAGAACTCTTCAGCACTCTTCAGCACTCTTCAGCACTCTTCAGCACTCTTCAGAACTCTTCAGAACTCTTCAGAAAACCAGAAAGTGTTTCTCTGCCAAGGGTCTCCAATTCCAAAGTGGTAGCACTCCTAGCCACTCCTAGCCATCAACTTAAACTGCCTTAGACGCCGAAGCATCGAAATCCTAGAGTCCGGGCAGCATTGAAGCTCCTTCTCTGTGTGCCGTCGCCGCGATTTGCAGGAGGCAAGGCTGATGCACAGCACCTTTGTGACTTTAATGGAGGAAGCACGTTAGAATACGTTAAGGAGCAGAACGGCGAAGAAGAACATGGTCTCCTCGACGGTTTTAACAACCGCGCCTCGCCATCGAAAACGGATGCATCACAGCGCTGGCCGCGGCGGAGCGCCTCGAGTGCTTCAAGTCCCCACAAGAAAACCACGGAAACCTGAGGACGAATTCAACCAGCAGACGTCCTCCCCAAATTTTCCTCACAGCTTGCAAAGGTCTGGCAGCGGAAAGCACTGTACGAGTACGTGGGAGGGCTGTCGGAAAGTACTTCTCACATCCGGCGGGCTATAAGCCCGGGCTGGTTGTTGACACGGTCGTGACACGAAACTTGTCTGTCCGCACTGCACGATGGAACGCAACCGAAGGGTGGAGGCTCTTCACTCCATCCTGGGCCGCCCCAACGTCCATCTCTACAGGCGAGGCAGGCAAGAGAGGCAAGAGCAAGAACATAAAAGAGCATGGACAGCAGCCAGACACAGGTGAGAGCGCGGGGTCAGCGAAAGGGACACCTCCAATGAGTCCAAGAGTCATGAGAAGGAAATGAAGAATGAAGGTGAGCTGGTTGTACATGTTGTACATCACGTAGGTGAGGCAATGTGAGCCACCTTCAGAAGGCCCTCATTGGTCATTCACCGTCGTTCCTCCTCCATCGGAATTCTTGGAGTTGTGGATGAAGGTGTTCTCCTCCATTGTTGGGGATGCCCGATTCCAGGTCAGCAGGCCCGGGCCTCCGCAACCGATGATCACGTTGGACCGGAGCACTGGCTTCGCATCGTTCCGTAGCCTGCAACTGTCAAAAAATTGCGGGAACAGGACAAGTCGGAGGTCAAGCTGGCCTGTATGATCAGAGGGCAGAAGCTAAGAGCCACACTCTCGTTGCTTCTTAACTCGTGTTTCGCTCGGTGCTTTCATGACTTGAGCGCACGCGTCACTTGACTAGGCTGTTCCTCAAAGCTAATGGCAGGCACATGTGAAACATCAGATGCAGGCTGAGCAAAACACTGCTTTCGAAGCTCATTGTAGCCCTGTTCGAAACAACAAGTACAAAATGACCTTCTAATTCAACAACCAGGGGACCGTATGCCAGCAGATCGGCAGTCAGAGATGATACAGCCTTCAAAGATGCCCTTGCAGCGCCCAGCTACAACCAGCCCCTGCCAAGCAGGTCCAATGCGACAGTTCGAAACACCAGGGATGGATTCAGCGTCGAGAGGAGGATCGGCCAGGATGCCAATGCCCCGGCTCTCAATGCGGCAGCCTTTCTTCACGGCTCTATTTTTCAGACACAAGCTCCCTTGGCGTGAGAAAAGCACGCGCATGCCCACACGCACACTCTTGCACACTCTTGCACACTCTTGCACACTCTTGCACACTCTTGCACACTCTTGCACACTCTTGCACACTCTTGCACACTCTTGCACACTCTTGCACACTCTTGCACACTCTTGCACACTCTTGCACACTCTTGTACACTCTTGCACTTGCCTACTTAGGCCACAAACAGATGCGACCAGCATTGGAGCTTCCCAGCCTGGCCTTCCACCCTTGGCCGGCCTGCGCACCGGAGGTGCACGGCAACAAATCGGCGACTGTTCACAACGTCCACGTTTCGCAAGACAGCGTACTCGGCCCCTATCTCAAAGATGAAGCTGCCTGACAGCTGTGTTCGAGCACCACTGGACCCCACCAGGCTGACGTTCCGCTTGATCACAATCGGCTTAGTATTCTGGTATTGGCCAGGTGGCAGTTCTAGCATGCATCCGTCTGGCAGTGAGTCGATGGCATCTTGCAGCGATCTGGCGGCTCTTCGTTGCACTGGACCAGGTAGGATTGTGCGGCAATCTAGTGGCAAGCCGCTGCAGAAATCCTTGCTAGATTGCTTTGGGACAACCAGCAGGACAAGGGCGAGCACCAGACATGACCTAAGCCTCCTTTCCATGCCATCTGCTTCTGATCGTGTACGGTATGTAGCTACATCTCCTTCTCAGCAAAAAGGTTTCTCGCCTCACTACTGAAGTTGATGGATATGGGACCGCCCTGTTGCACGGGCGCAGCTTGCAAGCGGGGTTGGGCAGTCGTTTGGGCTCATGAGATCTGAGCCGAAATCCGTCCCAGAACCCTTTGTCTAAACGTAAGCTGCAGACGTTGCTGGGGGAAGGTTTGGGGATGGTTCGCTGAGTCTTGTTCGTTTGCAGGCTGCTGCCTTGATTGATCTTCAGTCTGAACAAGTAAAAGAACAAAACCCAAAGCATTGTCTTTCAACTAGTTGCTGAACACATCCCGGGTCCAAGCTGAAAAACCTGGTGCAAAGTCAAAGTAACTAAGCACTCAAAAAGCAGATGGCCTGCTCGGCTTTCTCGGAAATCTCTGTGTGCAGAGACGGCACATCCACCATCACATCCTCTCCGAGTTTAAAGCCAAAAGCCGCGCTCGGCTGTGTGGTGAGCTGCAGATCTCTCCCCACACCTTCAGTGAGCCAGTGAGCCCCCCCTCCAAGAGTCGCTTTACCCAAGTACCGAAAAGACTCGCCTCGCCTTTCGGAGCAGCTCATGGACTTTGCTGCCAACCCGCGGGTACCCATCGGCCCCACGGATTCGCGGTCTCGCCGGCCTCGAGTCGAGAACTGTGAGACAAAAACTCTCCAAACAGGGTTTTGCATTGGGTGTTTGTGAGTTTGCGTGTGCGCGCCGGCTTGCCTGTTTCGAGCAGCACCTAATATTTACCCTAGCCTCCGGCATTATGGCAAGAAGGATTGGGTTGATGCACTGTTGATGCGCAGTGCGCTCCGTGGCTCTCACCTCAGCGCGAAGCTCGTTTTGGGTCGAAATGGCGCCGTTGCCTAGGCATGGGAACGGTTTTCGGGGGTCAAGATGTTCACCATAAAAAAACACCAGCTTTGGTATCCCGACGGCACTTGGCGAGCTCGCCTTGGTCTCCTGTCTGCGTTCGTTGAAATCGCGCTCCCACATCGGTCCCATCCGCTTTCTCGTTCCCTGTCGTGCATTCGCATTTCGCAGTGCCACCATGTGCCACCTCGCTCCCGTTCGCACTAAGACCAACGTGCTTCCCTGCTTCCCCCTCTGCACCTGGCGGGGCGTCGCCGGCGCCGCCGATGGAAAAGCGGCCATGACCTCAACAAGCCGGTGCATCTCGTGTCCGTGGCCGTGGGCCACGCGTTCACCACTGTTTCACTGGACCCCAGGTGGTCTACTTAGTGGCAACTATCACGCAAAAAACCCTTCTCCAGTTCAAGGCTTCGACCGAAACGGGGTTCGAGGAAGGGGATTCTACAAAGGCCGGAGACCTTCGTTGGTGTTGCCGGAGTGTGCCATCCCCCATACGCTCAACCTGATTTGCCCCTGACATTTGCATACATTTGCAATTTGCGAAATTGACATAAATTGGCACAGGCTGATCTCACGAGATCTCACGAGCCCTTTGGGCCATGGGCCGGCGCTTGGCACAGGCGCCCGGGCCTGGGCCTCGGTCTGCAGCGGAGGCGCGCGCCTCTTTGGGAAGAAGCGATCAGGGACCGGGGTCTCATGTGAGCTTTTGTGAGCTGCAAGCTGGTTCAAATGCTGGAAGTGCTTGAAGTGGCCTGAGATGTTTCGGGCCATTGATGGCCGTTGCACCTATGAGAGATTCACAAACAAGATGCGGCCATTTGACATCCACTAGCCTGGAAAAACACATTTGATGTAATCGGTTGCCAGGAGCTCAGGTGTCCGCATTGAAGGTGTTCTTGCTCTTATCTTGGGCGTCGGCAGATCAAGTCCAGGTGACATGCCATGACACAAACAACCGAGTGAACCTGCATGAACCTGCATCAACGCCGAAGCAGCCAGCCTCAAGCCTAAGCTGCAACGCGCATGCTTCCACCTTGAAATCCCCTCCACAGAATGTGGCCTCCGCTGCAATAGGATCAGTTCGTCGGCGCATGGCGCAACAAGCAAGTTTGGGTTAAGGGCCCACAACTCGCCTGGCGTACATGTTATCAGCTGTTGCTATGATGCGTTGCGCACATATGCAGTTTAGGCATGTTTGCTTTGTGCCTTGCGGAATATGCCCAAAGCATCCCGAAGCCATCAGACCAAAGTTGGCTCTGCCACACTGGGGCCTTGGGACCCGATGGCGGCAGGAAACCTTATCGATTCTGCACCAATAAGTGGCCGATGCCGTTTATCGACAGCCTTTTTCATCACAAGCATCAAAGCTCCGTATTTCGCAGGTTCACGTGAGCAACTTTACAGTAAACTCCAGAAAGTTGGAACATGGTTTAAGGATGACTAGAGCTGGGATTCCCTTCTCTTATACCTTTTGGGGCATGGGGATAAGGATGTTCCAACTTTCTGGAGTTCACTGTAGGGATGGACAAGTCATGGAGAGTTTGCCATCAACGATACTGGCACATGAAGGAATGGTCGCGACCAAAGTTCAAGCTCTAAGTGTTAAGACCTCAGAACGTGCGGACAGCAGTTGAGAGGGCGAAACACTTCCAGAACTGGACCGGGCCTTGCATAGATGCCGGAAGTCCCGCCAACATGAGCCTCAATTACGTCAACCATCGTCAAACCTTTTGGCAAGCAGCTCACAGTAAGACTTTAGAGCACGCTCAAACCACTTCAAGCATGGCCTAGGGCCTAGGGCCTAGCTTCCCGAGCACAGAACGGCAGCCATCGTGCAGAGCGCCACCAGGAAACCACAAACATTGGCTCTCCTACTGAGTCTTATACTGAGTCCTACTGCTCCCAGGGGCCGAGCGGAGCAACTGGTCGAGTCTTCGAAGAAAAGTGCACACGGACCTGTGCTGGATGCCGGAATTTGCCGGCCAGCGTTCCGAGAATCAAGAAGTCTCGACACACGTGTCAACCACATTGGCCATAACTGTGAAATGCCAGCAAATGGCAACCTAAGGACATGCTGACCCGCCGAAAAAACGCCGAATCCCTTCACCACGGCACGAACGATCTGTCAAATCATTCATGCGAACCCCTTGCCTTAGCCTCAAATGCCGTCGCAAAACCATGTTTACCATTTCCCTCTCCGAAGGTGCGAGAGCGTCCCAGAACAGCATTGCAGGTGCGGGAAGCTTCTGAGGGAGGGCGCTACGGTTCTGATGTTGGAAACAATGCCGTGCCACGATGCCCTCACGGCCTGCGCAGCTGGCTCAGATGGTTGCGGGGGCACCTTTGAAGAAGGAAGGGCAAAGATGAGAATTAGGGATTGATACAAGCTGGGATAGTCCGAGGGGATGCAAGGAGTGCCAACTTTTTAGACTTCGGAGCCGAAAAAAGAAATCGGCACTTCCGGGCCTTCCGGCTATGGCAGGATCCTCGGCAATCATTGCCGTCGCGACGGCTCCAGTGCACAACGCATGCGCTTACCTGCGGATCTCATGTCCCTATAGGTGCGCCCCTCTGCAACAGCGTGGCACCAGCCCTGTACACAAAACACACTGTACACGTTCTCTGTACACGTTCTCTGTCCTCTGTACACGTTCTCTACACATGCACGTTGGTGAGAGCAGCACCTTTATGTCGCTCTCAGCATTTTTTTCTTCTGTACCATCTCAATCCAAAGGTCCTAGCCTTGGCGGAGTGGCGGAGTCTCGGACCGTCTCAGCGGCTTTCTCAGCGGCTTTCTCAGCGGCTTTCTCAGCGGCTTTCTCGGCGGCTTCTCAGCATCTCCAGGTGCTTCTTTAACTGCTCAACGGAGCCCAGCTTCAGGCCCATGGGCATATCCTCACCCAACCTGCATCGTGTTTTCCAAACTCTAAACCCCATGTCCCCAGTGAGACATGTTGTGCTAGAAGTTTAGAAGGTGTTACACTGCTTCAGAAGGTCTGCACATGTTCTGAAACCCCAGATGGCATGCAAGTTTATTGAGCACTCCAACCGCAACAGCTGCCCACGGCCTGCGGTATTGTTCCATCAGCCGCCCGATGAGCTCTGCCTGCATGTTGAAGGCACGTTGAAGGCATTCTTGGGGCGCTACTGCCGCTACATTATTGCTGGATATTGCTGGTCTCCAACGTTTGAAGATTTTGAAGTACTCGCAAGGAGTACCTTCCGAGTGGCTTGGGGCTTGGCCAAGTCAAGCTCTGTCGTTGCAACGAAAAGCCCCCCGATCCCCTGAGCCACGTTGTTTAAGTTTATGTCAAAACGGTGGGTCATTGGGTCATTCGTTTCCTTGCAGCATCATGGGGTGCACAACGACTTTGTGATCCACCGTGCTGAGGGTGGCAAACCTGCCCACTTGGACTGTTTCACACACCAGCCGTTGATGTCAACCTCAGGAATTCTAGGCGCTTCAATTCAGCTTCACCTTCACGTTAGGGGCCCGGCTTTCTGCTGTTCTGCGGAGAGCTCAGCCGCACGAGCCTGACCCAACGGACAAGCCCCGACCCGGGCAACAGATGGGTAGCCATCATTGAAACCAAGCGGCCGAGGAAGGCGCCACAATCGAACAACTAAATCATAATACGCCAACCTTCCCTACTAAGCCTCCGGGGTTGAGGGTTCTTGCGTTTTTCGGGTTCACCCCTGGCTCTTGGTATGCGCGGCCTTCGAGATACCCCCCGCAGCTAGTTGCCGCCGCTGCGCTGCCTGGAGAGCAACACAGGCCGAAGACCGACAGAGGGGTGGCCCGCCTGCTGTTCACGCTGGCCCTCGTTTAGGTTGGGCCTTCCCAAACAAAGAATGGTGTGCCTCCGCGAACACAACAATATATCGGATCTGCAAAGACCCTGACTAGTGTCCACCCAGCCACCCGAAATTGTCGTACGATGCCCAAAACTTGTCCCCGAAGCAATCCCACTGTACTGTAATTAGTTAGGGCTGAGTTAGGGCTGAACGACTTCAAGCCCTGAAACAAATCTCACCAGATCCGGAATCCCAGCTAGTTCCAGCGAAGATTCACCATTACACAATGACTGGAAGCGAAATACCGTGCAGAACTGGATGACACGCGCAGGCACAGGAGCAACCAAAACTCCAAAGCCCAAAACTCCCCCAAGCATACCTGAATCTTTGCCCCTTTCTTGTCGTTGGTTAGAAAAGCTTCGCGAGGCTTCACGGAATTGTCTCGAGGGTTTCTCTGTGCTCCTCCGCCATCAACTGTCGCCGATCCGACTCTTGTGCCGCGCCCCCAAGGCGCTGCCCGGCCCTGGGTCCGCTTTGGTCCGCTTTGGGCTTCGGGACTCTCCGGGGTTGGCGGGTTGGGGTGACAGGTCATCTGCTCACAGCAACACGTGCAGGATCTGTGCGACTCTGCGACATTGTGCGACAGTGTCCATCAAGATCAAGCAAGATGCGGACGAAAGATGATGAACGTGATAGACAACAGCGGAAGACATGCGAGCAGTGGCTCACGATCGGTCGGACAAGATGCCATGAGGCACACATCAAAGATGAAAACCCAAGCTTCGCGGGACGACTGCAAAAAATGCATCTTCACAGTGCCAGGGGTCCCTTCTAGTGACACTGGGAAGGCATCTCACCTCGCTTCGTCAGGGCATCTAAGGGCTACGCGAGCCGGTGCCCCAGTCTTGTCCTTCCCGGCGCCGGCCTTGCCAAGGGGAAGAAACTGAGAAAAAAAAACTCAATGAAAAGATGCGCGGAGTCTTTTCCGAGTCTTTTTGCATCCCTTGCCTGCTCGTCCAGCTCGTCCAGCTCGTCCTGTCCTGTCCTCCTGGGCTTGCAGCCGTGCAGCCAGCTCATAATCGGTCAGGCGCTGGGGCTCCTCCGATGTTTTGAGGCCCGACTCCCGACTCCCGACTCCCGACTCCCGACTCCCGACTCCCGACTCCCGACCCACTTTGGAGTCGTCAAAGTGCGACCTTCTTGACATATTTGACATTCCTGCATGGCGCCCCTGAAAAGTTTGCCACTAAAGCAAAAGTTCTTGCCAGTCCTCCACGGAAGACTTGCTGCCGCAGCAGAACATCTCGAACTAACTCTCAACAGCAAATCGCGACCCTGGCAGTTGCGTTGGCGATAGCTGCGGATCGAGAGGGGCAGGTGACAAGGCCCGAAGCCTTGCAGCGTTTTGCTCCTACAGGCTTCTCGGCTTCTAGCAAAGTGCGGCATCCTGGAGCCCATCGTCCCGGGCTTTCTTTTGTTTTCCCCTGCTTGGAGGTTCGGACCTGAAGTTTCACGCAGATTGCCTAGTCTTTAGGGCGGCAAAAGGGTGCGCAGAGCCGCAAGACGTGTCTCGCGTCCCTGCCAAAATCAGAGCCCTGCGTGAACTGGACAGAGGTCCTCTGTACACTGAATTATGCACGCCAGTCTGCTCCACTCTGGGCTGAATTTCACGCACATGAATCTAACTAGAGTTCAATTCAACGGAGATCTCTTTGTACACATATATACATGTACCCGAAGGTAAGCCCAGAACAAAATGCGCTCAGCAACGAGTCTGGCAATGGAGGACCGATGGGATGCGATGGGAAGATTCGAGGGCCATAAACTACTTGACTACTCACAGCATCAAAGCCTCATTAGCATCTCCAAGTGTGCGGATAGCGTGTACACCGAGGCAATCTTCAAGCCCTTCGGCATCTTCTCGCCCAACCTGCAGTTGAGACGAAGTCTGAGTCTCACTTGTCGCAGTGTACCCTTTCCCAAGCCGGTCCTGCGGTACTCACGCGACAAAAGGGCCAGCAGTTCGGCTTTTTGCTCCTCTTCTGGAACCTGACGTGGAACGACAGCTCTACTACAGCAGAACAGACCGTCACTGATGCACTCTGAACGCACGAAGCATTACAGTGCGCAGCATGCTCTTCAAGTAAATACAGCTCTTGGTGCTTCAAGCCCTGAATACCCGAAAGTTCCAATGCCAATTTGGTGGTCTTGGCCTAGTTTTTGTACACACTACTATTGGGGTGGGGGGGGGGGGGGGGAATTCCGGTAGGATCCCATGAGCCTTTCAAATTAAAGGGAAGACGTCAACCTGAAGTTTCAATCCTTGACACTACTATTCCGCCTTGCCTGTGCGCACGTGTCCCGTGCAGGCCTTGGTTCGGCATTTCTGCGTGCTCTGCCCACACTGACACGCGAAGTGATTTTGTTGAAGCCGCATAAGCTGCTCCATTCTGAGCAATCCGATTTAGCATTTCATGTCGAGAGCGTTTTTGCGGCTTTCTTTGGTCGTGGAGATCACAGTCAAGAACATGCGTCGATGAAGATCAAATTCATGAAGCATGGCCAAGATGGCCAGGCAGTGGATTCACCAAAATTTTGACCTTGCGTGATTTTCGTGATTCGTGGCACCTGGGACCCTGCACCTCCCTGCACCATCAACCGAGAGCAGGGCGAGGTGCACAGACGCCCTCGAGCTGGGACTTCCAGAACTGCGGAGTGACGCGGTGACGAAGAGAAGGCCAGCTTACACGCTATACTGGACATTAAGGGATGAAACGTTTGCGCCCGGGAATGTGCAGGGCCGTTGAACCCGAAGATTCCTACAGCTCTGCATCATTTTGGCCTCGCCCGAAACAAACATGTAAGGTCACCTTCCTCGCCTCGAAACTCCCTACATCAACTGCCCATGATGCTAAGGGTTATGACCAAATCATGCTTCGGTGCCTTTCGTGACAATGACGGCTTCTCAAAGGCCAGGGCATCAAATATTACCAACCAGCTTTACAGAGCCGCGACGTTTTCAGCTCTTCTGCTACCCTCGTCTGCGGCTGAATATAATTTGTATTCGCAGGACTGCTTGAGGAGCCAGAAGAACGAGAGCCATTCAGCTCGTTATGCTTTGTCCGCTCCTTCCCCGCTGCTTCACCCGCAGTAACAATTGCCGCCTTGTGTTGCGATCACGTGAACTGCAAAAGCAACGGGGGGTGAGAATACTCGTCATGCTATCCATGCGCCAATCCTGAAGATCGGCTTCTGCTGCCGCCACACTTGCTCGCACCTTCTCAAACCGAGCTCATCTCGGTTCGATCGTGCTACAAAGCACAGACCGACAAATCGATGGAGTGCGCGCATGACCTTGTGACCTGTACAGAAATGATCACACAAATGCTGCTCACAGGATCTCTCGGAGCGATATTTTGGGGCACGCCATCGGGCGCAAAGAAGCAAGTCTACAAATTGTGGTGCTGAGCATGGTGATCGATGTGGACAAAACGACTCCTGAGTAGACCGCGAGAAGATTGGCAACAAGCCTGTACAATGTGTACAAATTGCCTGGGACAGCCAGCGGAGCCACTGGGCTTAGCTCCCTGATGGAACTATGGGACTTCTCACGAGGACTTCCCGAGCTCAGCCGACGATCAAGTCCACACAGGTGCTGCCAGAGCTGTTGTGAACAGAGCTTTTCTGAACATTGCGTTCACACACTGCTACCTATATTCCCATCTCTGTTGAATTTGTTACGCTACACAACATGACACCCCTGTGGCCGAGGCAGGCTGGCAGATGAACTCAGAAGGATTAACATCCTGAAGGTGACCGCTCCATATGCACGCACAAGATATCCCCGTGCTCAATGGAACGGAGGGAGGTCTTGCAATAAAAGCATGAACGGCATGGCCTACTCGGGAGCATCAGGGATGCGCCCGGCTTGCTGCAATCTCGGCTTGAATACCGTCACAACAGCCAGCACCAGACAACTTCGTAGCACCAAAGCACACGAGAGTCACGGGAGCAACAAGATCAATCACGAAGATGTTACGGAGCGTAAAGGTCCACATAACTAAGTAGACACAAGGATCTTGAGTTGATTCAGTGCGATGGTGAGATGCAACTTTGAGCAGCCAAGCCCCGGTCAACATGTGCTTGCCCCTTCCTTCTAGCATTCCTCCAAAGCACAACCAACTGTTCGACCATGCCTTATCGTTGAGTTCTACTACTCCTGGAGGTAGTCCAATGCCTGGTGCAACACGTTGTTTTCACATCCCTGGAGGATTGGCGAAATAATGGAACATCGGGACCGTGAACCCTGGTTGGCCGTAGCCAACCAAGACCCAGAACCCAAGAGTGAAACTTGGAACATTAGTGGACGGTAGGCCACCCTGCCGCCGACAACATCGATTAGTAGACGAACCAGCAGCAAGCACTTCCGTCGGCTAGAGTGACAACGGCACACCTTTCAGGAAGGAGAAGAGCTCGGCATCCGAAACACGACCTGAGCCACTAGAGTAGGCATTCACAAGCTCTACAACTACTGCCATCGCTTGGACTTGCAACTGCGGACGCCTGTGTCCCACTTGAGACAACACGCACGGACTTCATCTTCAGATCCGAAGACGCACGACACGACTCTCTGCAGGGGAAAAAATATCCACCATAGCATCTGGCAGCATCCGCATCTTGTGACACTGACCTCCCCCCACAGCTTCCACTCCCTCCCCCACCCACCCCGCCGCCAACCCTAAACGCAAAGCTTTCACACCACGACCGGCGGGGCGGGGGGGTGGGGGCCGGGGCCGCCCCCAAAACCCTCCACGGAACCCTCAGCCCTGAAGCCCTACCCAACCCTAAATCCGCCATGCACCGCGGGCTAAACCCTAAACCCTCAAGCCAACCCTAAAGTCAAGTCGGAGATGGGGGAAACCTCAAACCACCGCCGCAAGCCAAGTCATGAGCTGAGGTTTGTGCTTGGCAAAGTCTGATCTTGGACATGGATTCCTCAGCACGGGGCCGGGAATGCAGTGACTCTGAATGTAAACCTGTGCTAACCTTCCCCCTGAAACGCAAGAAGAAACATAAGTACCTGTCAGTGTAAGGTGCTGTTCAATCCCTGTTGTTCGACGTGCTCTTGTCCTTCTCGGTCCAGGTAGCCTCTGCATTGCTCTTTGAACTCACTCGCTACCACAGTTCTGATAGCGGGACCAGCAACTGCTAGGACTGCTAGGAAGCAGGAGATGTTGAGCAGCTTTGCTCCCCGGGCCTGCCAGAAGGTTTCGCGCAAAGCAGCTGCCCCGCGCCCAGCGCTGCAACTCCTCGTGGGCCCTGTCCGGCGAGGTCTCTCGAGCTTGCAGGAGGTTGTGCATGGTCCTGTCGGCTTCGTGTTGCTGGTCTTGCTTAAGATGTATTCGACTTGTCGATTTGCAGAATAAGATTCTTGGCAACCCGTCCTCTTCAGCCGGACACGAATCTGCTTTCCGGGTCTCTGCAGATTGGCCTCCAACCTATCTTTGTGAATATGACAGAATTGGCAGCCACCCATCTGACAGCCAGCCAAAGATGCGAAGAACACGCACGGTTCGCACGAACCGGGGGGGTGTGGCTTGCTGGAACTGGCGGCTGTTGGAGCACGAGGGACATGCTGTCCTCCAGCTGAACCGGGGTCTTCTACCTGGCCTTCCTGGCCTTCCTGGCCTTCCTGGCCTTCCTGTTCGAGGCCTTGTTCAACCTCCGCGTCGCATGAGGACGGCACGTGCATGGACGCACTGCACCCTACCCGTGCTGGAGACTCATGGCGCTGGCAGCGGCAAGCGAGTAGCATGCAAGGTCTAAGACATTCCAGCTTCCAGGTTTATCACCATATACAACACAACGCCGCCACAACAACAACCTAGCTCGCAAAACAACCTCAATTGCATGATCGCATGATCACCTGAAGATGACGATGACGATGACGATGATGACGATGATGATGATCATGATGATGATCATGATTATGATGATAATGTCGATGATGACGGCACCGATTGTTGCCACTTCTGCCATTGCTATCACTACTACCACTGCTGCCACTGCTACCACTACTACCACTACAGTGGTACCACTCCTACCACTGCCACCACTGCCACCACTGCTACCAATGCTACCACCACCCCCACACTACTACTACTACTACTACTACTACTACTACTACTACTACTACTACTACTACTACTACTACTACTACTACTACTACTACTACTACTACTACTACTACTACTACTACTACTACTACTACTACTACTACTACTACTACTACTACTACTACTACTACTACTACTACTACTACTTTACTACTACTACTTATACTACTACTACTACTAATACTACTACTACTACTTACTTACTTATTACGACTTACTACCATAACTTATACTAATACCTACTACTACTACTACTTACTACTAATACTACTTACTTTACTATACTACTATACTACTTTACTACTACTTTCTACTACTACTATATACTACTACTGCTACTACTACTACTACTACTACTACTACTACTACTACTACTACTACTACTACTACTACTACTACTACTACTACCACTACCACTACCACTACTACCACTACCACCACCACCAGCACCACCACCAGCACCAGCACCAGCACCACCAGCACCACCACCACCACCACCACCTCTACTACTACTACCACCTCTACTACTACTACTACTACTACTACTACTACTACTACGACGACTACTACTACTACTACTACTACTACTACTACTACTACTACTACCACGACCACCTACTACTACCACTACTACTACTACTACTACTACTACTACTACTACTACTACTACTACTACTACTACTACTACTACTACTACTACTACTACTACTACTACTACTACTACTAGAGAATACCCTGCTGCTACTACTAGGACGCGCGTTGGTAGGAGGCCCTGGGTACATTCGCTTGTTGTCCTAGTCGAAAAGTGAGCACCCTCTCGGTGTTTCGTGCTTCTCCCATCTTTAAGAGACATCGCAGATGCACGGCCGAACTACTTTGGGGGTCGTGGATTTGTGGTGTGATTAGGATTCAAGACTCGGGGTTTTCTTGCTCCGCATCCTTGCGCAGTATGTTGCACAAACAAGCGACAACGCTGTAAGTACGAGTGCTTGGGGAATAAAACGCTGTAAATAGCTGTGTTTTGGGCATGGTCGCGAAAAGCATGGACGCTAGTGACAGATTTTCCTGTTCCACATCCTTGTGCAGTATGTTGTACAAAAAGGCGAAAACGCTGTAAATACCAGTCGGTTGTGCATGGACGCAATATGAATGACGTTCTTATCCCCCCCCTCCTCCCCCCTCTCCCCCCCCCCACCCACCATCCCAAAGCGAGGCGAAACACGAAGCCGAGCAAAAGCACTCAGGTCCTCCTACCAACGCGCGGGGTACTACTACTACGACGACGACGACGATTATTGTTATCATCACTATTGCCGTTATTGCACCTACTTACTACTTACTACCTAGGACAAACCTCCTACTCTACTGCCTACTACCGTAATCCTACTGCTACTGCTCTTGCTTTTGTACTGCTACTCTGCTACTCTGCTACTCTGCTACTCTGCTACTCTGCTACTCTGCTACTCTGCTACTCTGCTACTCTGCTGCTCTGCTACTCTGCTACTCTCTACTCTGCAACTCTGCTGCTGCTACACTGCTACGGCTACACTGCTACTGGCACTGCTACTGCTACACTGCTGCTGCCACACTGCTACTGCAACACTGCTACTGCTGCACTGCTACTGCTGCACCGCTACTGCTACACTGTTACTGTTACACTGACACTGCTACACTGACACTGCTACACTGCTACACTGCTACACTGCTACTCTGCCACACTGCCACATTGCCAACATTGCCACACGGCCATACTGCCACATTGTTACTGCTACTGCTACTACGATGACGGCAATGATGATGGTGATGGTGGTGATAATGTTGAAGAGGAAGATCGTGATGACTATGGTGATGATGCCCTTTGGTGATGCAAAGCATGTTTTGTTTGTGCCCCGTTTTTGGAGGTGCCTAGGGCAGGGCGGAAACTGTCGCAATAGCAATGGCAGTTGCACGGCTTAAAAACGCGGGGGGCTCCCCATTTGCAAACCCTTGTATGTCGTTTTCCAAAAAGATTCATGTGGACATTGAAGTGCAAACACAAATCCTCTTGATGGCATATTGCACCCCTCGTCATTAAAAATGGAGCATGACCAGTTCAAGTTAAAGCCCAATTTACCAATGCCTTCCCTTGCGATCGATACACCCTGATATACCCTGGACCAACAAGATGTGCCACAGGCTGACCCGAGCCACTGCCAGCCTTCATGGCGCCATTCGTCGACAAACAACACGGGCTCCTTCTGCTTTGTGATGTTTTTATTCGCAGAGAGGTTTCGCCTACTGCCGAGAATTCATTGATGCCGGCTTGTGACGGTCTGCCGGCTTGGGTTCCATGGGCTTCTCCAATGGTTTGATCACCGGCTTCTTCATGGGGATTTATCGGGTTCCAAGCCGGACATGGCCTTCAGGACATGAGTCCTGTTGCAAAGGGCTAGGATACTGTGCAGATGTTTTTTCAACTTGCAGTACGCGACGGGCGGACCTGGCACCCTTGCAATCTTGCACCGACATTACGCATCAAAAACAGGGCACTGCTTCGGCATTGTTATGCCAAACCTAGCATGGTAAAGCGTCGGGCCTGTAAGCGAGCAACTTAATTTGCACGGGTCCTCCACCTTGGATCTTCCAAACCAGCAGCACATCAGCTGCGTGCCGGAGTTGAGCCGAAAATCGGTGAAACCTACGGAAAGCAAAAGCATCAACACATGGACCGGCAACACGTGAGGGAGCTAAAGGGCAAAGCCTCCCCTCTTCGAGGTTTCCAAAGCAGCGTCGAGCTTAATACGGCTGAGTCCCAGAAGAGAGCTTGTCATGAACCCATAACCTCATGCTGACTCACTGGACACAGGTATCACAGGTCACCTAGGAAACTCCGCGAAACTCCGCGAACTCCCTCACCCTCGAGGGCAAGCACTGATGGCTCCGCCGAGAGCGGCTCCGCTGACGGCGGCTCGGCAGACGCTTCCTGGTACCTGAGCTGGCTCCAGGAAAGAATGGGGCACAGGCTGGGGCTGAAATAGGCTGAAGCATCCTCCTGAAGCTTAGGCTTCGGCCAAGTGGATCCTGCTTTATGGTGACCTGGTGCGGTCTTGCACGGCAGATCCACGCAGATCCCATCTCAAATGTCATGACTGGGGTTTAGGGAATAGACTCTGCTGGAGTAGGGGGTTGGGAAGAGGAGCGATTCCGACGACTGTGACCCCCGACCCCGCAACACATTGAAGCAGGTCCTGAAACAAAACTGCGCACAATCACCCTTTCAGGCGTGTGAAGCCCAAAGCCACGGACCGGACAGTTAACCGGAACCCGAAAAACCGGCTTGCAGAGAGAACCCTAGTTACGCCTAGGTTCGGGAAACATGCCTGGTTGGGGCCTGTGAATTTCTGAATACTGCGGCAGGCCGAAAGTTCGTCGCACTCACAACATAAGACACGAAGGCAGCAGAAGACGCCCTCTCCCCCTTAGACTCCTGCACACCAAGAGCGCTGAGTCCTCCTCCGGAATAATAAACATAGTATAAGTCTATTCCGGTGGATTAATTCCTCGGCTATGCCAAAACCATGATGCAGTACTCCGCTGTCCTCCATCAACCTTGTCTTTTCAAGAGCAACGAAACTTTCTTCCTGGTCATGTATGTCACACAAGGGGTTTCCATTTAGAGGTTGGGGCTTTGGTGGCCAGGCGTCGACCGTTCGCAGTTGATCTTGTGGGAAACGGCGTTCAAAAACACTCACACGCACTCGCGCATGGTTTTGTACAGTCACAGGGACTGCGCGGGCCACGACCCTTCCAGCTGTCGTCAGTTTCTTGCCCTCGCACGTCACAAGTGGCGTGTGTCGGGCCTATTGGAGCCTGACCCAGTCTTTGCGTGTCAGGCGTCGTGTCGTGTCCTCATCGTCCTCATGTCGCGTCGTCGTGTCCTTGTGTCGACACGTGTCCTTGCGCCGTGTCCTTGTAGCCTTGTGGCGTGTTCATGTGTCGAGTCGTTCCGTGTCCTGCCTTTGTCCTCGCGTCATGCCCGTCATGCCCGGCGTCTTCCTTTCCAGCAGCGTCGTGGCCGGGCCTTGTGCAACACTCACTTTTTCGACTTCGCGTCTTGCCAAGAGACGAACCGCGGCATTCTCGGGCTCATATCCGGATTTCGTGTGAGGGCGTTTGGACACCGGGGGAGCGGAAGGCACAAAGATAGGTGCTGGCGCAGCATTGTGTTATGTCATCTTCAGATTATGCATAAGCTTGGGCACCGGCGTCTCAAGAAATTCTGCTGCATCTGCATCGTGACATGCTCCAGCTCGATCTGCGGCATGCGTCCGAGCTTGTCAAACCATGCTAAGCTATCGTCGAAAACCTCGCCTGGCAAGCA